GTGCTGCTCCCCGTCCCCCCAGCCATACCACTCACGCCCCCTGGGGACCAGCTGAAGGTGCTGGGGCTGCGGACTGCTGCCGACGTGTGAGGGCTTCTCTTGGCCTGGCCACGTGGTCTATCCCAACTCAAAGACATCTCAGCAGTGTCTGCAAAAGGGCAGCACCTCTCACACAGAAGCTACATCTCTGTACTTTGTACCTGTGGCCCCTTCTCCTGGGATCAGGAGGATGTCACATTAGCTGTGTTTCAGTGACAGATATAGATGAGGCCACCCTTCCTGACCCCGACACACTCTCTTGGCTCTCATTCCAAAAGAATCCAATCCCAGGATCTCCACACACCAGCAGACCACCTGGTGGTCGACCCCACAGTCCTACAGATTTGCCCGGGGCCCCTTCCTCTCTAGAGTGTGATGCTGGGGCCCTGCTACCTAAGGACACACCTGTGGTCTTGGATGAAGTGATGACATGCATCTGTTGCAAGATGATAAGGGAGGAAGGAGAAGTGGGTGAGGCTGTAGAAGATGCAAAACTGGCCAAGAGTTGAACCCTGTTGGAGCTGTTTCTGCGCAGCCCATCGTGTGGGCTGAAACACGTGCCCGTCTGCCTTCAGAAGCTTTTAGAGCAAGTGCGCAGAGTAATTCTGTGTCTGTTAAACCTAGTGATAAAATAATAGGACCTGAATTTGGTCTCTGTTTTTAATCTCCTTCTAGGAATTCACATTTCACAAAACTATCAGTCTATGAGGGACTGTACATTAAAAAAAGAAGACGAGGTCCCTCAGCACAGACAGAAGGAGAATCCCTGCTTCGTAGAACTTGCTCTACTTTTGTACATGCTTCACATTTTCCATAATGAAGATTTGGGTAGAGCAAAAGAATTGCTATTCGTTTTTAGTCTCTACTCAAATACAAAGTTAGAACTTAGAAAATAAATACAAATTTATTTTTTATTTTACAAATATAAAGACTTAGGATTTTACATAGGACTTAGAGCAGCCTGCCTCTAAGATGGGTCTTGGTGGACCCACCCCCCATACGTAAAGCAGGAGCTGGGGGCCGTGAGGTGACGCATGTCCTGCAAAACTGGGGTGTTGATTTGAGCACCATTTCCAGCACCATTTTTAGCTCCTTTGCTAAACGTTTGGAGAGTTTAAACTTTCCACTTTCCTCCTTTCTCACAAAGAACAAGTGTCGGCCCACTGCGGGGCGTTTTGCTACCGTATTTAAGTGGAAGTGTGCACATACAGTACAAGCTTACATGTAAGTCAGCCTGACAAAGTCACGCTTCCAGCCAAGTTCCTGAACACGGCTCTGTGTATGGTTGTTTACGCGTACACTTCCACTGAAAGCGAAATCTAGGTTCTGTTTGGTCCCTTTTCCTGTTCTGGTACTAAGAGTGTCCCAGGGCTGTGCACTCTAAGCTCAAAGCCCCCGCCACCCAGGACAGCTGAGACGTTCCTGTTCATCACGCGGACTCCCCCAGGAGGAGGGAACAAACCTAGCTCAGTACTCAGCCCCAAACGTCCTCACGCGGCCAGACCTAGGTTCTCAAACCGAGAAAGCAGAGCATGAAGGAAAGGGGAGTCTGCTTTGAAGCAATGGGGCTAAACCCAGAAAGATGCTGGGAGGTGGACCCCAAGCCACTGGTACGGAGGCGCAGCAGCCCGCGGCGGTGTCCCCCGTGTGAGGGGGGGTGGCGCGTCACGAGGGACCACATGGCGTCCGCTCTGCTCCGGGCTCGCTGCGGAGGCACCACCCTAGGGCAGGGGCCGGTGGGAGGGAGCCTGGGCTCCTGGATGAAGGAGCAGCCGTTGGGCTCCGGCTCCGCGTATGCAGCGCCGCCCCATCTGCCACGCCCGCCCGCCCGCCCGCTCGCCCGCGCTGGCACTGCGCCCCGCCTGCTGCCGCCGGCTACCCACCGCGTCCCTGGAGACCTCCTTTGATGGGGCGTTGATGCCAAGCTTTTCCAGGGGATAGACAATCTGTCGTCGGGGCCGCACGGGAACCAAGTAGTGGAGGGCGGACGTCAGCGAGTGGGCACCGGAGCTCTGAAACTGGGAGACAGCGACCTCGATGTTAGGGGGAAGGGCGTGGGAGCCGCGCGCACATTTGCCGGCACGCGCCTCGACAAATACAAAACTCCCAACCCGGCCAAACCGGAGGTGGGGGGAACCAGCAAATAAACAAACATACTCTTCGACCAGAGGAATGAATTGTAGATAATGCCTGACACTAATGAAGATAATTACGGGAGTAATTGCATTACTATCTCTGTGGGAATGACAGATAAACAAGTGGTTTGGTTTATGGGATTTTTCAGCACAAGTATTTTCCCCAGGAGGATATTCTTCTCCGTAGTGATCATGAATCAGCTCGATTTGACCCCATTAAGCTGTGTTATCTGCGTCCTGGTAACCTTTGCGTGTTTCACACAAGCTGCTTTAAGAAAGCACATAGATAAAAATGTCATCTGAGGGGCAATAGGGCGCAGATGTGAAAATCCTCATGTTTGTGAAAGTCACTGCTACTTCAGCTGGACGTCTGTTGATCAGATAAGTGTTTTAAAACAAAAGGATAAAACCGGAGAGTGGGGGAGTGGAGGGGGGAGGGGGCTGGACCAGATTACTCTGCTTTATATTAATACTAAATTGTGAGCTGGATTTATGCTTACTGAAACGGGCTACAATAAATCATGTTTTAGGTGAATGCTTTAAATATTAATTTTATCCAAGTTTTAGACTTGGCAGAGAAAACTGAACATGGTGATCTTTATTTCTTTCACATTTATGAACTCTTAGGGGTTTTGGCGAAACCCCTAAGCTTTGGGTATTTCAACTGTGTAAACCTCAAACTGTCAAACCAAAAATTTTTAATGAGACATTTACCGAATTTAACCTGGAAAGCAAAGAAAGTAAAACGGAACTGTAGCTGTAGTTTAATAAATGACGTGGTTTACACATGACTTATTTGTGGTTCTAAAAATAGCCCCTAGGCCTTTCTAAGAGCTTCTGGAAGGGATTTCTAAAATCCTTCACTATTGAACTTCACTGCCTGATTTTACACACTGAGAAAGAGAAGCCAGGGATCTCTAGCCAAAGCTGTGTTTTTAAGCCTGGAAGAGCTCTCAGTACATGTTCTGGCAGGAGGGTGTGGAGAAAACCGTCTTCATCGTGTCAGCCGAAAGCTCACTTGTACTGCAGTCAACTGGGGATGTATAGCAGAATTTGGAGATTCTTACCTGTACTATTTGGTATTGCTTCTTGCACTTATTTAAATGTACGTGTATAAATCAACTAGAGGTGCAGACAGAGAGGAAATCTGTTTCCAAGTGTGTTTCTATGTTATATATACAATAGCGCGTAACATGGTCCTAATTCCACACCATGGAGGGAAATACGTGAACACTCAATGAGTTCAGTTCAGGTCACCATTTTTTAGGATGCATGCAAAAGGACTTTCTACCAACTGGGCACTGGCAGGAAACACTGGGAATAAAAACTGAGAATGTAACATCACATCCTTAAAGGTCACCAAATTGGCACTTGGCCAAATGTGAAGTACAAAGAAATTGTGCAGGACCAGGATTTTCAGGCAAAACTGTTAAACTTCCCATGTCCCAGGTTCAAATCTGGGGCATTCACATTGCTGTAGGGCTGCATTTTGATAGGAAAAAAATCATCACTAGAGCATATTCTACATTCGCTACCTATCTTTTCCATGTTTTTTCTTCTTTCTCCTCCATTCCTTCTGTTTTTCCCCAAAAGGCATTTGTCAAATAAGATACATTGGTAAAATTACTGTTATGTGTATGTACCCATATACCTTAGATTGTTTTTAAGTTTAATAATTCAGAGCATTTAAAAAACCCACTTAGCTCACCATGGTAACTAAGAAGAAACGTGACAATGTCAGACTCTAGGCAGAGCCTAAGAAAGTTTTTGGTCACGAATGGGATCTTATGGGACAATTTCTACCTAGGGGGGGTAGAAATTTCTACCTGGGGGTTCAGTTCTCAACACCCCTCAAGTCTGCATCAACACTGTCAGTGACAGAGGGACCATCTTGCAGGAAAGAACTGCTTGGGGATCCAGCTCCAAGAAGCCCTTGCCTGTCAGCAAGCAGGACACTGCGTGTGAGCACGTGTGAGTGTGTGGGACCCTTCTACGTAACGGGGTTGCAGCTCTGAACAGGACAAACGGCTCCAGCTTTACGGCACAAGACAGAATGTGAGCGAGTGAGAAGTGCTATGAAGGAGACGGAAGCAGGATACACGGAAGCAGGAAGCAAGAGCTTGCTATCTGTGCACAGTATACATAATGTATACACAGTAGGCACGTGTTTGTTATAGAAGTATTGCTCTACGTAAGTACAAGTATTATGCAGACATAGTGGTATCTACTACATAAAGGCTACATCAATAACACATATCTCCACTTTTTATCCATCACTTTTATGGGGATGTTATACTGCTGTTTTGCAATACCGTGATAGCACACCAGTATTAAGGACTGAGCTAATTTATTCTATGGGTTCACTACTAGAACATTCTTTGCTTGAAGAACATCATAGGACATTTTGGCATTCACTAATTCACATGAGAAATAATTTGATTTTCACATCCCTTAGAGTGTTTTTCCGTAGCTTTCAGTGTCTGCTTTGTAGATATGGAAAAGCCAACAATTTGTTCTACTAATTATATGGGTTGTGATGGTTTCAGAAATTCAAAGCCTTCTGAGTTTTCACTGTAGTGTAAGAAAAGGACCAAACTCAATATGGCCATTTGAAATTCAGAGCCACATTACAATCAAAATACATGGAGTGAAGAAGAAATAAAATATGGCACACGACACAAATGACACCGTGACACAGATCTGCTGGAAAAGTGACTTAAGACATTCTTTTACCTTGCCTTCCTTGGCTCGCGGGTAAACAGGGTAGTAGAGACAGGACTTATATCCTAAACGGAGGATCTCCTTCAGAAAAAACTTGGTGTAGTGCTGAAAAATGGGGTTCAGGGCAAAGTGATACAGGTGGCCATGCTCTTCGCGCTGGTGGTGACTAAAGTATATGAAGTCTTCAATATTGTAGTGGGATCGTATGTACTCTATATCCTAAAAAGAGATGTGAGAAAGGACACCTAAGAAGGTTTTAAACAAACGGCATACGCTTTCTGAGAAACATCATTTAAAAATGACTTTAGGTACAATAATGAGAGACGAGTTTTTCCCTCCTATTATTTACTATCTTATTTTCATTGTTAATTTTTTTAAAGCTAAAACTTATGTTTCCTGAAAGTCACTTGTTTTGATGGCTTACTTCTGGAGGGTGGCTCAGAGCTTTGGGATTTGCTCCTCACAGCCGTGCTAAAAACCTGGAGAGCCTTGAGTCCCTGCTCATGGACAGCCTCCCAGTGGCCAGAGCAATGCAATGGAGAAGCAGATATACACTACCGTCAAAGACCCATGCCAACCATCCACACTGATAATCTCTCATTCATGACATGGAGAGACTTTTGGGGAAAACTGACGAATGCAAAAGACCAGTTAGAGAAACATACAACTCACTCCAGAGGAAACAGAGGTTATCCAGCAAATGGAGGAGAATTTTTTAAAAATTCTACTCAATGTCCTCAGAGATACCAAAAAAGGATCTCGCATAAAACATGACAAACAAGCTCCTACAAAAAAGGAACAATAAGAGAACAAGGAAGAGACTTGGAAGTTAAACACATGAACTCTGAAATTAAAATTCCAATAGAAGGCCTGGATAATAGACTAGATGTGGCTGAACAGTAAATTAGGAATCTGGAAGATAAAATCAAGAACAACTCCTAGAATGAAGAGTAAGAAGTACAAGAGATTAAAAAGTACAAGAAGAAAGGTAAAAGACAGTGAAGGGTCACTTCCATCCAAAAAGGAATGGAGAATAGAGAAAATGGAAGGGAAGAAATCATTAGTGAAATCAGAAGAAAGATGTTCCCAAGCTCAAAAGAGGCATAAGGTACTTCATAAGAATTTTTGGAATAAAAGGGAAAAACTAATTCTCAAGAGAGAAAGCAGACATACATACATTTATTTACATCAGACTGTATTTTATCCGTAACATTGGATACTGGAAGATAATGAGAGTAAAAACATCAACACTCTGATGAGAAATAATTTGCATATGAATTCTATTCACAGCTGAATGAGTGTTCAAGTGTGAGGACATATGAAAACTTGTATATGTGTGTGGACTCAGAGACCCTACCCTCTTCCACTCACTCTCCAAGAATTCTTAAAGATATATTGAATCAAAAGAGAAATGAATCCAAGAACAAGGATAGTTTGAACACATTAGAGAAATAAAGTCATATGAACATCTCCATAAATGCCGAAACACATTTAATAAAATTCAACACCCATGCTTAACAAAAACTTTTAGTAAATTAGAAATAGGAGAGAAGTTCCTTAACATGATAAGGGGTATCTTCCAGAAGCCATGTTGCCAGAAGGGAAGTCTCAATATTATAATTATCAGTTCTGCCTAAATTGTTCTGTAAAATCTACATAGGCACAAATAAATTCATAGTAAGTATTACAAGGTTTATCTGGAAAAGAAAACACCCAAGTTTAACCAAGAAACTTTAGGCAAAAAATATAAATAAGAGAAGACTTCCCCACCAGATACCAAAGCACGTGATAGTACAATAGATATCAACAAATAAATCCATGGAACAGAACAGAGAGTAAAAATAGACACAGACACATGGAAATTTAATAATATAAAGGCAGCATTTTAAATCAGTAGGGAAAGAATGGACTACTCAGTAATAAATACTTTGGAATAATTGGCTGTGCACTGGGACAAAATAAAATTAGATGTCCACTTACACACGCACGCACGCACACGATGCATGAAAATAAGTGCAAGGAAGAACGCTGGAAGGGATAAATGCCTAACTCTCAATAGTGGTAATCCTTTGGGGAGGGAGCTGGGACTTGTTTTTGGTGGTGGAAGGTTATTTGAATTTTTAGATGGTGAATGTTTTCAGGTACTCTTCGTAATATTTTAAACATTTTGAACCGAAAAAAAAATGGAGACTTGAAAGGCTGCCCAGTGGGATGCAAGCAGATCTACAGCCTTCAGAAAAAGAAGATATTCATCCTAAATAAGTAAAAATGAAACTTCAAAAGAGGCATTGTGTGCTAATTCACAAGAGGAAAAGGGAAGGGAAGTAGTATCCACTTCACAATTTACCATTTCATCTCTGATCACTGCAATGCCAACTACTTGTTCTGCAACTTCGGCTACAAATGCCTTCAGTGGTGTTCCATCCTGACAAGAGAAGCAGATATTTTAAGACCCTAAAAAATATTGCTATTAGTGTTTCCGTAAGCTGTCAATAAAGGGTTTCAACCGTGATCACATAACGACAATGATAAAGCCACCATCCTATCACCACTTACCTCTGTGCCAGGTAATAGGTTAAATGCCCTCTTTGTATGCGTTTAACCCTCACTTCAACCCCTCTGAAGTAAGTATTACCATTACATCTCTACTTCATTTAAGAGAAAATAAGGCCTGGGAGGCTGCCTTGCCAAGATCTCCAGCTGGTACGGGATGGATCTATTGATTCGAACCACATTCCTTTGACTGGGTATCTGTTTTCTTTAGCATGACATCAGTGGTTCTCAAACACTGTCATCCCAGGCCCCCTGGTCCTGAGGATGATAAAGAGCTTTGGTTCACGTATGTAATGTCTACCACTATTTTCTATATTAGAAATTAAAACTGAGAAAATTTTGAATTCTTTGATTAATTTTTGTTGAATTTATTAATTAAAGCACATGTTTTAGTTTGATAAAAAATATTTAGAGAGAAGAGTAGCACTGTTTCATATTTTTGCAAATCTCTTGAATATCTGGCTCAATGGAAGATGGCTGGATTCTCACACCTACTTCCGTATTGTATTCAATCTGTTGTAACATGTTATTTTGGTTGAAATATATGCAAAAAAAATCTGTCTTCACAAAGACACGTAGTTGGAAAAGGGAGAAGTATTTAAATAATATTTTCAGATAATTATGGATATTCTCCTTTGATGCGCCACCAAAACTCAACATGTAGTAAGTAGTCTTTTAAAGATAAGTTGCAATGTGGCTCTGAAGCCATGTCAGTGACCTTTGTATACCCTACTACATTAAAATGTGTCGGTCTCTTTTGCACTTTGAATCTTTTACCCATGCATGATTTTTGTAACATCGTGTACTGTCTATCTGGAAAATATTGATTCACCAAGCTGATGCAGATTTTCCAAACGTTGACCTATTTCATTACAAAATATCAAAACATTGCGTGTGGTAATATCACCGCCAGTCTCACCAGAAAAAGTTTTTTTAAGTTTTGGGAAGCTGTCAAGCTCATGATGGCAGATACTGACTTTCTAAAGTCTAATTTTTTCTTGAAAGCGTGGACTTTATCATGGGGGAACACATGCTGTCAGTTGTTTCTTTGGAGTGACACTCTCACCTCACTCATTTTTAAGAAAAAGTCTGCCAACTCCCCAGGACTGAATTACCATATTTTGTCTGCCAGCTGTTCTGTGACAACGGTGCTGCTTCAACCTGCAATTCAAACAACTGCAGAAACATTTTTCTTGAAACAACCAATATACTTCAGCCTGCAGCCAAGAGCAGTATGCGCACGTCTCATTTTGCTACACAGAATACTGCAAATACATGTACTCAAGGGCTAAGACTTAGTAAGTTAATGTTTACAGCTTCAAGGGAAACTGGCTTTCCCTTTTGTTTGAATTTTAATTAAAATGTCTATGGAGATAGTTGCAGATTCACCAGCAGTTGTAAAAAACAATACAGAGAGATTCCTTCTACACTTTGCCCAGTATCCCATAATGGTAACTTTTGCAAAACACTAGTATCATATGACAAGCAGGGAACCCACACTGATGCCATTTCGTGTGCGCGCGCCCATGTGTGTGCGTATTAAGATCTATGCAATTTTATCCCCTGTGTAGGTTCATATGTCCACCACTGCAGTCAAGATACCGAACAGTTCCAACACAAGGATTTCGTGGGTTGCCTATTATACCACACCTATTTGCCTCCTGCCCCACTTCCATCCTTAACCCTGGCAACAAATGATCTGTTCTCTAGTTCTAAAATGTTGTCATTTCAAAAATGTCATATAAGTGAAATCATACAGTATGTAACCTCTAGGGACTGGCTTATTTTTCCATTTAGCATAATTCTCTGGACATCCACCCAAGCTGATGTATGAATCAACAGTGCATTCCTGAATAGTATGGAGGGTCCCTAAAAAACTAAAAGTAGAACTACCATATGATCCAGCAATCCCACTTCTGGGCATATATCCAGAAAAGATGAAAACTCTAATTTGAAAACATACATTCACCCCGATGTTCATAGCAGCACTATTGACAATAGCCACGACATGGAAGCAATCTAAATGTCCACCAACAGATGAATGGATAAAGAAGATGTGGTACGTATATACAATGGAATATTACTCAGCCATAAAAAAGAATGAAATTTTGCCATTTGCAGCAACATGGATGGACCTAGAGATTACCATAGTAAGTGAAGTAAATCAGAGAAAGACAAATACCATATGATATCACTTATTTGTGGAATCTAAAAAAAAATGATACAAATGAACTTATTTACAAAACAGAAACAGACTCACAGACATAGAAAACAATCTTATGGTTACCAAAGGGGAAAGGGGAGGGAGGGATAAATTAAGAGTCTGGGATTAACAGATACACACTACTTACTATATATAAAATATATAAACAACAAGGACTGACTGTATAGATACACATATATTTATCTGAATCACTTTGCTGTACCTGAAACTAACACAACATTATAAATCAACTATACTTAAACAAACAAACAAAAAAACTGGTGCATCCCTTTGCACTGCTGAGCACTATTCCATGGCATGGAATTGCCACAGCTCACCCTACCCATTCCCCTGCTGGAGGACATCTGGGCTGATTCCAGCTGCTATGAACATTTGTGACCAAGTCTTCATTTCTCTGCGATAAATGCTCAGAGATAACTGTTGCATTTTTTATTTTTTTTTAAGAAACAGCCAAAATGTTCTCCAGAGCAGGGGTACCATTTCACATTCCCACCAGCAGCATAGGAATGATCCAATTTCCCCGCACCTTCGCCACACCTGAGTGGTGTCACTCTTCTTTGTTTTAGCCATTCTCCTGGTGCACAGTGACATCCCGTTGTGGATTTTCTGTTCCTGTTGTTGCTGTGAGTGCATCGCAGCAAACTCGAAGGCCACTGGGAAGTTTGGTGACACTGCTTCAATCCACACTGAGGTCCCTGAGGTCTTGCCCACCATTGCCTTTCCGCTGAATATCAATTCAGTGGAAAAGGAAAATAATTTCTTACTCTTATTTTGAGCATAGTTTTTACCTCATAGACTCCCTGCATGTGTCTTGGAGACCCCTGTGTCAGCGAGCCAGGAGGGAAGGAACAAACAAAAAAAGAAACAAAGACAAACCAAAACAAACAAAAAAAACATGTGCTGGAGGGAAGTTTTACTTTAATTCAATGCCTTTATAAATATTAAACATCTCACCACGTTTAGTGTTTGTTGTCTCCCTCTTGATGAGTTTAAAATTAACTGAGAGGTTTATCCAAAAGAGCCCATAACTGGGAACTCGCCAGATGACCCCAGAGGCGGAATGAAGAAATACATTGAGGTATATTCATGCAATGAAGTATCAATACTTTACAGCACAATGTGGATGAATCTCACAATCATTGCTGAGCAAAAGAGGCTAGATGTCAAAAACACACTGTATGATCCCTTTAAATAAAGCTCAAAAGCCAGGCATCTATGATCTTAGAAGTCAAGGTGGTACTAACTGGGGGAAGAGTGACTAAATGAGAGCTTGAAAGGGACTTCCAGTGGGCTGGGGTCAGTCTGTTTCCTGAAACAGGCGCTCGTTATGTGGCGTATTCAAACTGTGAAAGCCATCAAACTTTTTATTGATTAAACTTTTTAATATAATTCATCAAGAAGTAATTAAGCATTCCCTAGCTACATGCATTGTTCCATGTCTGGTGAAGTTAACTGGCCTGGTCCTTAAGAAAGCAGCGATGATGTAAGGACCACTGCTAGCTTGCCCTCTGCAATGGCAAAAGTACAGTACAGTTACTGTACTAGAAAGAGAACCCAGCATTGGTCATACAGGATCTTCCCAGCCAATCCGATCCTTGAGGATGCAGCCAGCGTCCTCAAGGGTATGGACAGACCCATCACCCAGAAGGGCAAAATGGGGTGCTGCTGGGATGGGCACCAGGCACCCCAAGGATCCACTAACCTTGGTCAGATTTGCCTATTCCAAGCACTGAGATCTAATTTTGTTATATTTGTCTAGATCAAGTTCAAATTTTCTAGCCCCGTGATAAGAATTTAGGGCATCTGATCAGCCCTCATAGGGCAACTAGTGAGAAGAACAGCCCCACTTCCTTAAACCTCAGTTTCCTTGTTCTTTTCTTCTCCCTCCCACCTTCCAACCCCACCTCCGCCGCTCCCCACCACACGATTCTCCAACTAGGCCCAAGGAAACTTCTGGGTTGAACGTACATGAGTCATAATGGTCCCAAAACATGAGGAAAAGAAGCCAGTCTGGTCATAGCAGGTACTTACAGGGTCCCTGCGAGCCTCGTTGTACTGCTGTAAATCTTCCAATATGCTTTTACTCAGCATGAGGGTGCTGACAAGATTTTCAACACCAGGAGTATCCGAGAGAGTGGCTAATCTTATTTTAATGGTCCTGGGTAAGGAGAGACACATTTTCTTTTTCAGGTTAACGTACTAAAATATGTATTCCGTCCTCCACCCAAATGGAGACAGAATTGTAACAGATCACACTTATACAAAATAATATCTGGTAAAATATTTTTTATATAACATTGGGGTTTGATTAACTACAAAAGTAATTCTTCATTCTAGAAAACCTGGAAAACACACATTTTAAAAAGTGCAAAGATTGTAAATCAACTATACTTCAGTTTTTTTAAATTTTAAAATAATTTAAAAATAAAAATTTAAAAAAGAGAAAGAAGAACAAAGAAAACCCAAAGTCAGCAGAAGGAAGGAAATCATAAAGATCAGAGCAGAAATAAGTGAAATAGAAATGAAGAAAACAATAGCAAATATCAATAAAACTAAAAGTTTGTTCTTTGAGAAGATAAAACTGATAAACCTTTAGCTATACTCATCAAGAAAAAAAGGGAGAGGACTCAAATCAATAAAATTATAAA